CAAATCGGGATCCAACTTCAATCAAAGGTTGGAGACCAATCGCTCTACTCTCGTGCCTAGGCAAAGGATTAGAAAGACTCCTGGCCAAGCGAATGGCAAACCTCGCAATTATTTACGATGTGGTGGGCCACCAACAATTCGGCGCGCTCCCAAAGCGATCTGCAACGGATCTGGTCTCCTGCGTAGTCCATGACGTCGAAGAAGCACGCTCCCAGGGATGGGCCTCGACATTCGTGACCTTAGACGTCCAAGGAGCGTTCGATGCAGTGCTCCACAATCGCTTGGTTAGACGCATGCAAGCCCAGGGATGGCCAGACTCGATCCTCCGATGGACGACTTCATTCCTCACACATCGGAAGGTACAAGTGCGTTTCTCCGGTGGAGTCACCACACAGAAAGAGCTGGTCTGCGGAGTCCCCCAGGGATCACCAATTTCGCCATTACTATTCCTTCTGTACATGGCGGAGCCGATGCAAAGGGGCAACCCAGGATCGAGGTTTAGCTACACCGACGATATTGGAATTCTGGGGTTTGGACGCACAGTTGCTGAATCAGCCGGCGCTGCACAAAGAGAGGTAGACCATCTTCTCGAGTGGGCAGGGAAAAATGCTGTTGCCTTCGAAACGCAAAAGTCTGAAGTCATCCAATTCCCAGGACGACGCCGAGAAGAAGCAGTTGGGGTTCACGTAAATGGAAATCTCATCGAGCCCGCTGATCACATTCGCTGGCTTGGCGTACATTTGGATCCTCGACTCAATTTCAAACACCACGTAACCACCTGGTGCGGCAAAGCGATGAAAGCTGCACAGCATATGCGCCGCTTCAACTCTACCTCTCGGGGAGCAGCCCCCGGGCCGTTAGTCGGCGCAGTAGACATGTGCATTGTCTCTCTAGCAACTTTTGGATCTGATGTCTGGTGGCCAGGGTCCAGACGCCCAACCACACGAGGAATGGTCACGTCATCTACCTCAAACCTCTGCAGCATGATTGACAAAGCTAACCTGGTGGGATTGCGGGCTGCACTGCCAGTGATGAGGACAACGCCAAACGTAGCCGTTCACAGAGAAGGAGGAATCCCGCCGGCAAAGGTCATACTTGAGGGAAACCGACTCCGACTTTCGGCAAGGCTTAAGACCCTTGATGATAGACACCCGTTGAGGATCCGCGCTTCCGTGTGCCCGAATGTCGGCACTCGAAAGTACAAAAAGACCGCCAAACTCTCTGCCAGACCAGAGATCCAAATGTCACGGTTACAGTGTGCTTATCGAGAGCTCCCGGAAGCAGAGGCTCCCGAGGCCCTGGCGCCGGTAGTCTACCCTAAAAAGTTAGGCTCAAGGCTGACGGAACGCAACGACTGCGTTGGATGGATCAATAACGTGACAGGAACGGACGTCTGCGCATACTCAGATGGTTCATCGGAAGGACACGGACGCTCTGCCTGGGGTTTCGTTCTGAAAAAGGATGGGAAAGACATAGGCAAAGGAAGTGGCATCAAGCACGGGGGAGACGTGCTGGATGCAGAGATAATAGGAGCAAGGAAGGCTCTAGAAGCCGCACTGGAGTTCATGGATAACGGAAACTCTAGGAGAGTAGGAGGGTCGCAGCAAATCCACTTGTTTCTAGACAGCCAGCAGGCTGTAAGCGCACTAACGACGGGCTCATCCTCAACTAGCCTTGAAGATGTACGCAAATTCCGTGCGTCATCCAATAAGGCAAAAATATTAGTGAAATGGGTGCCAGGGCACGCAGGGATACAAGGGAACGAAGAGGCAGACACCATTGCCCGTGCCGCACTCCGAGAGTTACCTAGCCAGGAGACACCACCAGGATCATGTACGCTGGCATATCTTCGTGGTCACATGAATCACCGGCGGCAGAAATTGCTGGAAGACTGGTGGATAGAGGCTTGTCCGCCTAAATACCGCCAACTCAACCTACAGGTTCGGCGACGCAAACCACCCGAACTAGCTCTCTCTAGGCACCTGCTCCGAGAATTAATTGCAGCCCGAACGGGTCACGGCAATTTTGCGGCATACAATCGCCGTTTTAATAACCTACACGCTCCTATGGAGTGCTCTTGCGGGAAGGAAACTACTCCAACCCACTTCATCCACTTTAGCCGCCACGCACAACACACGCGTAGGCTCAGAAATTCAATGTCCCACGCTGACTTTGTCAAAAAGCTTCTCGGGCCCAAGTGCCACGAAAGCTTCAAAATATTTGCGCAGGAAACCGGCTGTTTTGATAGACGACCTGCTCACTCATCCACTGCTCTCAGCGGGGATCAGATTAACTAGTCATTGCCACAACACATGACAAGAAAGGGAACGAGGCGAGAAGTGTCGTTTCTCTGAGGAAAGATTGTAGCTATTTGGATTTAGGGAAAAGGATTGATTTTTGATCTAGGAGTTGGAGTAGGTGGTGTCCGCGTCGTAATTTACTTCCTACTATTTCTGTAGCAAGTCCAGCGGTTGGAATGAGTTGGGCCTGTAAGCAGTGATCCCCGCCGGCTCCACCAGTCTTGTACCTGTAGTGGACCTAGAGCTTTAGCTTAGGACTTTAATATAATAAAAAAAAAAAAAAAAAAAAACCCTTCATCAATTCGAGAAATTCGAAAATTCGAAAATTCATTTTTTCCCTCTTTCCTCCCTTCTCGACCTCGTCGCATCTATCTCTGAATTGTGATCGAGCTCAGGCATTTCACCATGCCTCCAGTTCGCAAAAAGCGCCCCAACGTCAAGTTGGACAACACGAGAGTCCACCCGAGGGCTCTCCAACAATTACCTGGCCTTGCCCAGTCTCCGAAATGCGCGGAGATGAGCAAGGTCTCAACCAAAGGGAAGGAAAAAGCCCTCCCCGCCGTCGCTGAACCCGATACTGACATGATCGGGTCAGTCGAAATTATTGAGGAAATTCCTCAACCATCCTCCGTCCCCCACGGGATTGGAGAATCGTCAAAATCTCCCCCGACCGCGCCAAAACTGTCGGAGAACGCTGCACCCAAAGCAGCGTCAAAATCAACGTCGCAGCCCAAAGCTGCCACGAAAGCAGACTGCCCTCCGGAACTTCGACCCATTATCGAAGCCGAGCAACGACGTGCCGCCGAAACAGCAGAAAACCTGGCCCTCTGCTCCGCCGCCATCTCTGGCGTCGAAGCCACCCTTCTTCCTTTGACCAACGTGTCAAACAGACAATTTGTAGACTCGATGAGAGTCTACCTACGCGCAGCCATCGCGCAACACATGGCCACGGGCCCGGCCTCCACGCCACCCGTCCTCCCTCCTCGCCCGGCGAACCCGATCCCAAGAGCTCCCGACGTCAGGAGCACAACGATTTCCGCCGTCCCAGCGCTGCCTATAAAAAGAACCTGGGCCACGGTGGCCAGAAATGGACTGCAACAAAAAGCAGTCCCAACTGTAAAGGCTGTTCCGCGATCTGCGGCAAAAGCCCAAAATAAAGAAGCTCCGAAGGCTAAAGTCGACAAACGACTGTTCCTTCGCTTAGAGAGCGATCACCCATGGCGCCAGCTTTCGCCTGACGGCATACGGCATCAATTATGTTGTAGGCTACTGTACACCTTGAGTGAAAAAAGCTCTATACACCGTGTCAGAACCGGATTTGCGATTCTGACAGCGGATGAAAATGAAAGGGAAGAGCTCTTAGATGCCTCACCGAAGTTGTCGGACTTCAATGCCAAAATCGAGGAAGCCTCCAACCTTGTCGCCTTTCGGATCGCGAATGTTCCAGCGACTATAAAATTAATCAACCGTATTGAGACGGTCGATGCCGGTAGGATCTCACTGGAGATTTACCGCAAAACACAACGACGTCCATGCCAGGTGCGACCGCACGGCACATGTCGTCCTGGAGCGCCATACAGAAACTGGTATGCCCTTTTCAACCGGGACTCCGCCCCTCGTGCGGGCTTCCGAATTCTCGACGAGTCCGGAGCGGCTACAAAGATCCAGCCTCGTCGCCAAATTTAACAGTGCAAACGCTGTTTGGGCTTCCACGCCACTGGTGGTTGCTCCCGCGCCCCAGCGTGCTGGAACTGCGGATCAAACATGTACTCGGAAGCCGAGTGCAAGGCCCTCACAAAGTGTCGCAACTGTGGGGGACCCCACCGATCGGATTCTCGGGACTGCAAAGTCAGACCCAGAAATTCTGGACCGGTGACCAAAGAGCAGCTCGCGTGGATCCGCCACATCGAACAAGGGGAGTTCGCGAAGGTGGCACGAGCACGAGCAACAGCAAAGAAGGCCGAAGAGGCAATCACCGCCGCTGCAAAGGACGTCTCGATAGCCGAGGCTACAGGTTTCGGAGTTCTGGAATTTGAAGAAGAAGTTTGAGGACACAGCAACCTCGACGATGTCCCTTTTGGGGCATATTCTAACCAATAGCAGGATACCGGCTGGATAAAAAGTGCCTGCTATCTCATCTCTTGCTCTCAGCGGAGATTGAGTAAATTTGTCATTTGGAAGATGTGGCAAGAAAGGGAACGGGCGAGAAGCGCGGGATCCGGACCACATGAAAAATCTTGTAAATTTGATTTCAGTCTTTGGCTTTTAGTCTTGATTTTAGTTTTTGATTACAGTTTCTGAGTTATAATTTACCTGCTACTTTTTCTGTAGCGGGTCACGCGGTTGGAATGAGTTGGGCCTGTAAGCAGTGATCCCCGCCAGCTCCACCAGTCTTGTACCGATAGTGGACCTAGAGCCTTAGCTCAGGACTTTAATATAATAAAAAAAAAAAAAAAAAAACCCCTTCATCAATTACTTCCATTAACCATCACCTGACTTATCTCTGTACTCCATAATTTCAACAACTTTGTCCTTTTCGACTTGAGCGCTGATCCTCCTTTCGATTTAGTCTGCCTACGTTTTTTTTTCTTGGGCGCTAAGCCCAATTCTTCGTCTACGATATGACCCTCTTTAACAAATGATTGAAGTTGTCAGCAAAACTTGTTTAACAAGAGGATTGATTTAGGGTGGATGGAAAATTTACATACCATCAATTTGTGTTATAACATTCTTAAATGCACGAATGATTGGAGCATAAAGTTGGCCAGAATTAGGGGTTGAGGCAAACTGATCTAAATTTTCTCCAAACAATATCTTCCGAAGCTCTTTTGCCATATCCTTGACACTCTCAAAACTCGATGAAAAGTGTTCCAGTATATTTTTCTCGAAATTTTGAATAATATCTCCTTTCTTCTTGAAGTAATTCAGAGAAGTATTATTCGTGTACCAGCTTTTCAAGTATTCAGGCCTTACACTTGAACAACCGTACCGCAGGCATCCCATTAGAAAAACGTAAAAAAACGACTCGAGATCATAACGACACGATTTATTAATACTGTAGTTTCCTTGGTTCATATTCCTCAGTAATTCAATCGCCATGTATTTGACGGTGCCAGCCATTTTAATTTTCTCCTCCTCATTCACCTGGCCATCGATCGAAGTAGACATGTCCAGGTCAATAAGAAGTCCGCGAGATTTTCCGTCTGCATCAGGCTTGCTCAAAATGATATTCCCCTCAGAAACATCACAGTGTAGAACTTTGGCATCGGTGTAAAGATCTCGATGACCAATTATGGCATCAAGTATACAACTTAGGAACTCCCGGGGCGTTCGACAGGATTTTAGAGGGCGTCCATTCGGTAACAGCAGTGCCAACGTTAGCTTACGTTTCCGATAATAGGGTTCAGCTTTGGATGTTTTGCTATGACGGCCGAGTGAGAGACGCCATTCATTTTGTCGAAAGTAAACCTTGTATGCCGTTGAGAAATCTAGCCCAGTTCGATGGGTTTCAACCTCATGTATATCTTTACTCCATTTCAAGTTAACCACACCATTCACCGGTTTAGCTAGCTCCAAATAATCAAGCTCCGATGGTTTGGTACCTGACCCCCATGAAAACTTGACCATGTACATGTCGTCCTTGGTCCGATGACAAACATTTGCCCGTGTTACTATTGTCTCCAGCCTGAAAACTGTCTCAGGGTCTATCTCGATTTCCCTTTCTGATGCATCTTTGTTGTCTCTAATGTCGATGTAAGATTTACCATTGATGCAACGAATAGTCGTGTCAAGACCGAGCTCCTCGTCACTCATGAAGACGTAGGATGAGATAGCTCGAACAAGTTTCTCCTCACTTTCGATTAGACTGATTTCACCCGAGCTGTATGCACCCGAGCGATCGAGAATCCAAAACTCCGCGTGTAATCCATGCACGATAAATCCACGCAAAAATCGACGTAAGGGCTGCGCGTAAAATATCTCACGGATGTACCTTGTGAGCTGGTGATATTTGGCATCTTTCTTTACAGGGGACTTGTTAAATTTGCCTACCACTGTGATTTCCCTCCAATGATGTTTGGGAATGTCCGATAGATCGGCATCTTCAATGAAAAAGTCAAGTTTTCGATTACACTTCCCACCTTCAAGCTGTTTGAACTCTGTGGTGTGAGCGAATCTGCCGCGCACAGGAGGATCATGTTCTGTACGGATGAATGTTGGTTCATGTACATTTGCTTCGTGAGGAGTGCTGAACTGTCTCAGGTATCGATCTTAGAATGTATAAAGCCATGCATGGAGTTCACTTTCTTTCATTCTTTCCTTGAAAACATGGGGTAGACATTGATTATTGTCACGATAACACTCCCAAATTCGCTTAGTTACTTGAGACCAATTTGGATTCTTGAAATAAACCTCCCAGAAATTCCCAACGTTTTTATATACATCACTTGCTGATTCACCTTTGAGCGCCACTGTGAGAGATTCGCAGGTTTTACCATGTTTTTGCATTTCTTGAGCATTTCGCGTGTGGGTAGTCGTGGTGTATTTCCCTCGAACAAAAGGAATCTCTATGTCCGGTGTAGACTGAGATTCCCCACAGTATTCATTGTCAAGGTCACTAGTGAGATTATTAGCAAGGTTTATGACTTCGGCCCAGACGTCTAGGTCGCTGCCGTTAGAGTTGATTGTTGCAATTAATTTTTCGAAATAGAAGGTAGAAACTTTGTTACGAAATATCTCCCCAGTAAATCTATAAAGCTGTCTCATAAGCATGTAGATAGAGGCGTTCCCTGAAAATCTAGCTGTGTACGCTTGTAATTCTGGAAGTAGTACGAGAATTTCTGCATAATTAGCTATGATCTCTTTATTCAGAAGTAAATATTTACTAGGGATAGGGTCCATTTGATTTTCGTAGCCCTCCCTAAATCGAGAAAGAACTTCTTTGAGAGGATTTTGGGCAGTGTAATCGTAAAGGTCTTGGAATTGACTCATTGTGTATGATGGTAATAGAAGAAAGATGGTGGAGAAAATATATTGATCTGCAGATGAATGTGCGAAAAACAGAGCAAGGAAAGGCAGAAATTATGTATGGTTGGAAGAGTTACATGATTAATACGGGTGGTTTTTAGATGATTTAATTAGTATTCCATCAAAGGCAAAACCCGAAAACTACCCGTGTCCGCTACGAAACTGCTTGTTACATAAACTCCGAGCCAGTTTCAACCAAATTTTGTAATATTGAAGAAACTAGCTAATGGTGCAAAGGCAGACCGTCCAAACCATTCTCCCGAGTAGATTTTGCCTAGTTTGGACACATGCCTATTCGAGACAGGAGGAAGCTAGTTAGGACCTACTTAATCCCAAATACCATATTCTCTCGCCGTGATATCTCCTCTGTAAGGTGACGTCTGCCCACTTGAGTGACCATGGACATTTCACGCATTTTTGGCGGTGGTCATCTACCGATAATTTTACATGCAGCAAGGGTGAGCTTCGAGCGGTTTCTGCGAATAAAATCCAATTGCGAATGCTCTTAACTTGAAAATGAGTCATTCTACACAAGTTTCTTCCATAAATACCCGCATAGACTTTAGGGCGTCAAGTCAGGATAATTGAATAATTTGCATTTAGTTTACCTTCCCTTTTTATTCTCTTGATCTAAAAGATTTGCTTCAGATTTAGATTGAGAGTGACGTCTCAAATTAGATAGAGGAATCTGAGAGCTCAGGAGTATTGAGGGAAATTATCTCGGCTTGGTCCACTCGAGTAGCGTCAATATTAAGGGGACTATGCTCAACATCTATCAGTGGTGTCTTCCATGAGCCTTCAGCTCTAACTGTAGAGTCTACAGAGCCGAGATTGAGTAACAAAGTCCTCACCTCGATGGGGATTCCCAATCGCTTTCGCCGTCTGTATTGTATTCATCCCTCAGCAAAACCCTCGAGCACCGTTGTCATGAGACCAACCATGATCAGATAGTAGAGTCGAAGCCCTTCTCACCACCAACCCTTGATCATGGAGGAAAAGCCATCCGATGAGTTTCCGGAGCGTATCCACCACCCGATACGGAGATGGCAGATTGGATCAAGTCGGCCTCGAACGTTACAAAGAAGGGAGATATAGATGAATATGCGCACCTCGTGTGGTCCCGGTGTCTAGGCCTCGCCTGGCTAGGGCTGCAGGATTTTTGAAACTTTTTCCGCGCACGCAGTTTCCATTGCTACCATTTTTATTTTTTTTGGGTAGAAGGTTCCGTGGAAAAGGTAGCCGAATTCCACGGGTAAACACTGAGCTGAATGGCTATCTTGTTGAAGTTATAGAGTAATCGGAATAATATTTGCGGATGTTAGAATTCACGGGAAGATAATGGGAAAGTCGTGCTTGTGATATGTTCATTTGAATCTATCTGCGTCGAGTGAAAGATGTGATCAGTGTGAAGAGATAGAATACACGTCCTAATATATACTAAACTGTCCATCTTTATTTCCCAATTTATCTCTATTGGCATAGGCTGAATCTGCTAGCAGATAGATATTGAATTATTTTAGGGTCCTAAGCTATGCTATATATCTCCTAGGAGTCAAAGACCGGTGTACACGGCCGAGATCATGCTTTCCGCATGCCCACCTCGGGTTCACCGCGTGAACCACTACACAGCCAGTAGATAGTTAAAAGAAAGAAAAATAGAAACTCCCGTGAACTCCCATAACTAAAGTTCCAAGCCCAGTAATCCAGTTTGTGGATAGAAAAACGACACCTATCGTCTCGTTTTCCTACCTGCCATGCATCGTGCTATGACTAGTTACCACCGTCTCCGCTGAGAGCTGGAGACGGATCCGTAGGTGTGCCCCCGAAGCAGCCGGTTTCCTGCGCAAATATTTTAAAATGTTCGAGGCTTGTTGTGGCAATTCCCGTCAACAGTGCCTTCACTGCAGACTGACTATCCGTCAATACATTGATCTGCTGCCTGCCGTCCCCTCCCCCGTTCTCCATCTCCAACAATCCCAGCGCAGCTTCAAGGGCCTTCCTCGCCCCTATAATTTTCGCATCAAGCACTTCACTACTATGCTTGATGCCACATCCCTTCAACAGAGTTTTTCCATCCCACCAGATAGATGATGATGATATTTTTATCGTGACCGGGTACTACCCCAGCACCCAGAGGGCATGGCACGGGTAGTCCAGATCTATACGACTCTTCGCTACCTACATCATTGTTTCGTAGAAACTTGAACACACAAAACTAAAACAAATAAAACACCAATTCTAATGTGCTAGCGCCCTGCGCTACACCTTAATTCTCGTACCACACCGAACGGTGCCAGGAAGCATTACAGTTGACCTTTACATCCCCTGTTCACGATTCAATCTTGCTGTAACACTTTGTTACAGTTGAAAAACGCCAGAATTTCTGCCATCCTTCCTGCCCTATCATATCCCTGATCTTAGGACGTGGTTCCTTCGTTTCCGTCCTCCATTTGTGGATAGTCGGGCGACACTCTACAAAATGCCATTGCCGCTTTTCTCTGCCATATTTTGTTGGAATTTCGCACCAGTTGCTTACTCTAGAGCTACACAATTGTCCGTGATGATCGGCAAGGCTGCTTAGGAATAACTTGGCGCACAATTGCACTAGACTGAAATTGGTTTTAGCGTCAGACAAAGAACACGAGTAATATGTAGAAACCTAGATGTACATTCTTTAAAAATATTCCGACGAATAATATAATATAATAAGAACGAATTACGTAAATAATTTATTTGATTAAACTACTACGAAGTACTTTGAAGCTGTGCCTATATTCTTTGAGTGAGTTTCCTCTTAGAACCCATGCACACTTTCCAACACATTTGCAAAGTATTTCTTCATTCTGGTGTTGGAACCGTCTATGATATCTGGCGAAGTCACCATGCTCAGTCCTTGCTGCGATGAGGCGATGATATGCCCATCGAGGTAGAGCTAGCTCCGGAGGGCGTTTTCTCCGCATCAGTAGGTCCAGATCTTCATACCTACTCGATCTATTCTTAATCCACCATTCTTCTGCAAGTTTTTGTACCCGGATATTGACTTGGCGTTTGAGAGCTGCAAAAGTCAAAACTTTGGGAGTTTCCTCCCAGATGCACTCTGGTCTCGGTATGTTCCCATCCCGATTATTTGACGCAAGGAATGCCTTTGCCATCGCGTTGGTCTTTTCGTTTCCTGGAATGCCGCTATGTCCCGGAACCCAGTAGACCTCTATCGCTAGTCGAGTCTTGCGTAGTTCCCAAAAATTCATGACCTCTACTTGCGAGGAATTGTTTTTGCCATTTTGAAGGGCTCTGACCGCCTCTTGATTGTCAAGGAGTACCTTGATATCTGTGCTGCCACCAATTTCTAACGCTGCCTCTAGGCCTCGTACTGTCCCGGTGATTTCCGCATCAAAGACCTCAGCTCCAGGAAGTAACTTTCCACCGCTCGCTATAAGTTCACCGCCCCTACATATGGCGTAACCATAGGCTGAGTATGCTGGGACGGTCGATGACCCATCCGAGTACACACAGAGTGTTACTGGGGGAAGATCCCTGAGCCAAAACATGATCTGCTTCGCTTTTTCCTCCTTGTCGCATTTGGCCCTAGCAGTAGCCATCGTTGTCTTTGGTTGGTAAAGCTGCCCAGGCCCTTCTGATGCTGGCAGGCTGAGGTTCCCATTCTGAAGGCGTGTTAAATATTATTGAAGAAGATATGGTTAGAAGACTGTACTGCTGGTAAATGCCTGAAGCTTATGATGTATATTGTTGTGCTGCTAAATTCTACACCTACGATACACTCTATAGAC